ATATATATGTGTGTATATGTGTGTGCATATTTGTGTCATAATAATTTGTCAAATAAAAAATGTTAAAACTGTAATTAATTAATTTTTTTTATTTGATTTTTAATCCCAATTTAATCTTTTATAATCCTATACATTTCATTCTGTGGTCATCAAGGGATTAATGTGTCAAATAGAAGTTAAAAGAATTTTTTGTGGGAGAAGAACTGAAAAGAAAACCTCAAATCACTTGTCCCAAATTTTATGAATGGTGCCAACAAAAAAACAAGATTTTTTTTTGCTTTGAAATTTGAGAGAAATTTCCATTCATTAAATGACATAAAAAGTTAATAATAATAGAGAATACAAAATTTACAAAACCAAACTGCACAAAATTTTCCTTGTGTGCCAAACAAGTTCTAAATTCAATTCTGTTTGCCTCGTAAGATCAATTACAATTATTATCAACAAAACGTTCATTTACTTCAATTTATTTGATTTTTGAAAGGTGACAAGTAAGGCATTGTTGGTTTTCTGTTAGGCAATACGTCAGTTTTATAAACTGAGATTCAAAAATGAGATAAATCCCATAGTTTCAAAATCACAGTTCATACCTCCAATTTTGTGACAAACTTTTTAATCATTTGTAGAGAGTTATCTTTTCCTGGTTTTATTTCTTTTTCTTCTGTTATTTCTTTTCTTTTTCTTTCAGCTTCTTTTTTGTCCATCATTAGCAGTGGCATCAGTTGTGGAAGATTTTTAATTTTTCTCTGTTCCCAGAAGCAGCTCACAGTCATTTGCTTGTGAAAGCCAAAACACTTTTGTTTTTTTCTTCTTCCTCTTCATCTAAATTCAGTTTCCAGGACCTACTGCCTGTATAATAAGCCAGACTTCTTAAATAACCAAACATTGGCCTTGAATAGAATAAAAAATTTGATACTAAGTGTTTGGAACTTACTTCCCCATTCGTTAAAAAAATCACAAAATGTATCTCTTTAAACCTTGTTTGCAAACTTTATTTAGATAGGTTTTGAAACCATCAGACTTGATCCTCTTTTTAAAATTTTTGAAAACCTGATTTTAATCATGTATTTTTTTTATAAACAATCAAGCTTTATTTTGACAGTTATTTTACAGCATAAATATATATACAAAGTTTCATACATCAAATTTTATTAAAGATATTTTTTTATTAAGTGTCAGGTTTCATTTTAGCAGTTTTTGTTTCTTGAAGCTTTTATTTTAATTTTGACTTTGAGCGAATAGATTAAATTTGATATTTATATGTAAAATACATTGCTGCATTTCAAAACTAATTTAAATTGATTGGAAATATTTTTTCTTTTGAAATTGCTGATTTTAGAGACATTTTTACCCATCTTTCATCAAAATGGTCCAGTGCTTCTGTTGTATATTTAGAGAATTTTGATAAGATCCAAAGAAGAATCAGTTATATTATTGGTCCTAACCTGGCATGTTATTGGATCTGAACATGGTTAATTGTCTTCGCTTACTTTCTCACCACTATAACATAGCTTCCCTTTGCCTTTTCTATAAATACTTTCAGGGTAATTTTTCAGATGAACTTTTCACTATGGTAGTAAAACTTTATGAATTTAAGTGCAGTACTAGATTTGCCACAAGGTTTGATTATTTTACAGATGAAATGGCTAGATGTTACCATAATTTCTAGGCTAACAGTTTTTTCCCTCGCACTTCACGTTTTTGGAACGCTCTTGAAGCTGCCCAGTCAACTTTGATCTTCAAAAATTTAAATGCAATGTTGCTATCTACTGTCTTCTTCATTCTTGTTCTTTTATTGTTCTCCTCTTTAATACTGATTTTATTTTTCTTATATTCCCTTTGCATCTTAGTGGCTTTATTGTCTTGCTTGGAGTGAAATGATTAAAAAAAATTTCATAAATGCACAAATACCCTAGGAAAAAATATGAATACACCTCTTCTCTCCCCCAGCTATGGATTAATTAGTATGACTCTCCTAAATTCTTATAATGCAATAATGTTTTCGGACCCATAAAAACAAATCGATCAATCAGTCAATCATTATACAGGATGTCTCCCCCGACACAAAAAAATCGACATCACTTAAAATGTGAATATATGAGTAACTTCATGTCCCAGGCAAACAAAATTAAATAGGCTTCATATTGAACAATAAAAGATTTATATACCATAATTCAAACAAGATATACAGCAGGATGTAGATTTTATAAGCAATTTCACAAAGATTTACAAATGTTCAATATGCACACCACCTGTAACATGACATGCCTAAAGTTGGTAGTCCAGTTACAGCCAAACATGCTGTATTGATATTCACATTGTAACTGATGTCAATTTGTGGGGAGGACACGTCTTGTATTTTCTTTACACGGATAATAATGTTTACTTTCCAGAACAGTATTATTAGTATTTTTTTCTTGAAGCATATCATCCCAAGCAAGGCGGGAGTGCCGCTAGCACACAAGGGGTTACAAAGAGTGAGTGCAAGAGCAAAGAGGGT